AAATTTGCCCAGAACACAGTTTACATTGTAATTCAATAACACAGGACGAAAGTGCACAAAATAGGCTTTGTACTGGTGTACCTATACCTACTTACTTGGATGCTTGGATAGCTCGTCTTCACTGGTTATGCGGACTCTAGCATAATTTCCACTTTTTCGTAGTTTTGCTGGTCTAGCCACTGTGGTTGCCTGGAGTACCAAGGTCAGCCTGACCAAGGTCTGCCCCACGTCGTCACCACCACACGCAGTCTCCACCTTTGTGGATCAGAGTTCCTCCTGTACACCGAATCATTACTTTGAAAAGGAATTTCCTTATAGTTAAGATGCAATGAAATTGCTGAAATAGGACAAGAGCAGTTTACCCCCTTCCCGGAAGGGTTAAAGTGAGCTAACGAAAAGCATGTGCTTTTGGGAACGTCAGAAGCCTTCCGCAAATTTTTCTGCTTTGGACGATGTCTACTGCTTACCTGCGGTTAGTCGTTCACATTTAAACAGTTCGATAATGCGAAGAACAGAGAGATCATCGTCATTTTTCCCATTCTTAAGCAAAACTTTATGAGGGATATTTTCCTACGTCATTCCTAGCATCCTCTTTCTACGCAACTGCTTGTTTGCTGCTTATAAAACTCAGAAGAACGCTAGTGACTATCGATTTCGGATATGAGGACAAAAATAAACTGCGTAATCACTTTGAGGTTAAAGCGTAACTTCTGCTTTTAACCAGGAAGCGAATACCCCTCTGCGAAAATGCAGGTGAGGGGTAAAATAGGCGTGGTCTCATGTGTGGTGTTCGCGATTGCGTACAGATCAATATAGCTCACAGTTCCATCGATTATCACTCATGTATCCTTGTAATCATTAACGCTCGGGGGGAATGTCGCTCAGATAATAAGTTGTTAGTTTTCATTGCTAATTTAAGATCTGTATTATGTCTGTAGGTTTCTTAGAGGTGCTGTTTACGTTGTTTAGTTCTGCTTCTCCATTTTCACTTATAGATTTTTGCAAGTAGTCCTTAATTCCTTAGTTTCACTTAGTCCTTTATGTTCATAAGAGGTGTGCACTTAACGTGACGAGTGTTTCTATTAGACTCAAAAGTCTCCGTAGTTATCTCTCTTACATTCGTCATCTACGCTTCTATCAGAAGCAACTAAGTCGTTGAACGAAACCGAAACACGCTATGAAACATTGTGATATAGGCTTGTTACACATGCTAAAGTGCTCCCACGACCATCTTAATCTTATTTTGGACTCATTACTAACCCTTCTGAAGAGACCCTGGATTTCAGAGATGCCTGCGGATGCCTACGCAGAGTGCTCACCTAAATCCTTACTAGAGGCAAGTGCTCTTCGTCTAGCATGTCTTATTGGCAAAGGTGAGTCATTAGCTCTCTTGTGCCTTCTTTTTCAGATTTGCGCTTTATAACGTGATTTAGAACGAGTTCCGCCTATTGGTTCTCCATTACCTGCTCAGTTTGGAAATCTGATCGTGAATGCGATGCGTCAGTTGGATCTGCTGGACGAGAAAGGCTTACAGTGTCTGGCAGACCTTAAATTGAACATAACTAAGGTTTTTTGGCTGTTTGCACTTTTTTTTGGAGATTATTGATATAGTGTTCGGTGGTACGGATTAGTTATTTCCTTCATACAGTAACGAACACGAGACCAGCTCTTAATATACCGTAGTTTCGTTCTTAAGGAAGTCTTAAGGAAGGGGGTAATCCAGACGGCGGATAGGTGAGGAAGCTGTTTCCTTTTTCCTGAACCCTTGTCGTCGTCATATCCCGAATTCGATCTGTTATGAACTGTAGAAGTGCGGTGTTTATGTTCTGCTTGGAAGTTATTACTTCAACAAACATCTGAAGATAGACGTCTGTGGATTTTTTTTTTGTAAGCTTCTTACGGAAATAGAAAACATTTTTGAAGTTCTGCCCTTTTGTTTGCAAAAAAACAAGACTTCAAGCGCGATGCGCATTATGTAAATAGGATGCGACTTATGATTTTGTATGTCACAAATGTTTTGGATGTTTTCGTAAGGGAAACTCTGGCCTCGGTGATAGTCAGCGTTTTGTTTGGCCGAAGCAACGGACAGTGAAAAAGTCCTTGCTTTGTATTTGTTGCTAACCTTCCTTTCTGTTCAAGAACTCTTGAAAATCAGAAATGTGGTTAAACTCTAATGTACTTGAGAATGATTGAAGATATTTTAATGCGTGTTTTCAATAGCTTATGACTAACAGCTTATGACTACGGTTTTTTTGACTGATCCTTACCATATTGTTTTTTATACAACATGAGCTGGTTTATTTTGTGTCGTAGTCTAACCTTATAAATTATATTTTTTTTCACAGTACCGAGTTTCGCGTTTTAAAATCGACCGTCACTTAACTTTCAAATTGTTGAGCTTACACGAATTTGATAAATGTGTTTGTTTCGGCATCTTCGTCTTCATCAGAGCCGATGAGCCAAGTTGATGGTCCACTTTGACTCTGGTCTTTGGTGAAGACGAAGGCGTCGAAACGTTAGCCAAAATAAACGTATTTCTCAACCTCGTATAATCTCAACAATTCAGAAACATGATCATTGTTTTTAATTTACAAAAACCGTGTGAGCCGATTTCCAAACGTTCAGATTGACTTATCTCAATGCGGTCACTTTCCATACGTTGTTCTGTCGCGTTTGGCACAGTTCGACCTGGAATCGCTCTCAATTTCCGACGCAGGGCCTTCTGGTTGGTGTAATCCTCAGTAGTTTTCTGAAATAAAGACATGTTTTATTTCGTATTTTACTGAAGAAAATGACTGGATTTGTTGTAGATTCATCGACGTTCGACGTGGGAGAATTTATACGTGAGTGCGTTAGCGATGCTACATTTAGATCCCTGCGTTATCTTAACATTGGAGGGCATGATAAGATGACGAATTTCACTAGGGTAAGTCATTGCGATAATCTATCTAGCAGCAGAACGCTAGCACCAGGCACACCTATTCTAACTTGATCTCTGGTTTCAGTTAGCTCAATTCTCGGCACTAGAGAGCCTCTCACTCGCCGGTCGCCCTGTTTGTCAGACCGCATTGAAAGTTGTACGTGAACTCCCTAACTTGAAGCTGCTCGATATTTCTAACACACTGGTCGCTGATATTTCTGCACTGAATGGACAAAAGTTTGTTAACGTTTTGACTTTACCCTCATGAAATGATAGTGAAAATAAATTTGTTGAACAAGTGCTCAAAATTTAGTTAAGAACTCTGGAAAACGCTCGATTACCTTCATAACACTGTAGAAGGGTTTACAATAGATTTCACCAGTGATTTTGTTTCGTTTTTATTCTCCACGTATCCTCAATATCTTTATATCTATATTCTTCATACTTTTTTTTGACGTTTCTATTCATTGTCTATGTGATGAGAAAACTCATATTTTCGATCCAACATGGTGATATCGGCCTTTGATACGTAATTTTGCAGCAGAGAATATGTCTCGGGATGCATTTTCTTTTCTCATACTTCGAAACGAATTTGTTCCTATGTGCTCCAATCAGATCGTTGCGTACGGTAATCATGACGTCTTTACGATTGTGAAACGAAGAATTGTAGTTTCAAAAGTTCGCAACTGGGTGCTTTATGTGTTCCTATATCTTCAATCGTAGTCAATCTGGAGAACTATCTGCTTCTGCTTGCGCGAAAATTAGTGATATACTTACATAAATTATTCATTGATGATATTGAGGGCCTCGTTCTGGGAAAGCGAATTGGATACGCGTGGATTGCCGTGGTTAAGACATTAATGGAGTTCTTGCTTTACTTCTAATATGCTATCCTGTTGGATCTTTTTGTGACAAGGGCCAGGTTTCGGTAACTGTTCGATTACTTCTATTTGGGCAACAATTACACTTAAGGGATACGTATTGTATTGTGTTACTCCATTTATTGAACTTTTTAAGGAACCAGAAGTCTGGATGCTTGACGACATCTGTATTGACTAGTTCCCTGTGATGCTTTGAATGAGAGACGTCTTTACACTTACAGTTTGTATATAGATGTCTCATCTTAGAGTTTACTTCTGAACAGACCCGTTGCTGGAAGCTTCAATAAGATATGGGAGGGATTCTATGTAGAATCTAAACAAAAGAGCGTTGGTGCTACTGGGGCGGAAGGGCAGTAGAGGTAACATGTGGGAAAAGCTGTCTGCTAACCTGTCTGGCATTTTTTTCTTTTTCTTTGTCTTATGGAGTCATAATAGCACTTTGATAATCCATTATAACAATTAGTACAAAATTTCAGTGTTTCTGTACTAGATCAGTCGCTTCCAAAACGCGACTAGTCAGCGACGTTTAAAATGTTTTTGTTTTGTTGAGCTATCTGGTCTCCTATCCATCATACGTTGCATTGTTGGCAAATGCAAACTAGGCAAGACGTTTTGAATTCTCTTACTTGGTATAGCTTCAAGTGCCATAGGACCTTTTCCATTGACCGAGTTAATTCTCCAGTAATCGTTCAGTCATGGAATTCTAAGGGTTGTAACGATTTAGGGTGGAGTCCGTTGAGTCTTTTCATTTCATTTCTTCAGCAGTTTTCTGTTTCCACAATTGGTCCTCCTATTCGAATCTGTCAGGTCCGTTCGCCGTTATGGCATAAATAGTAAAGGATGAGGATGAAGCTCTCGGCGTTAATCAATCCCTGAAGGATGCGCCATGCACTCGACTTCATTAAGCATCGTTGGAGGTGATTGAACTCAAATCTGTCCTTTACAATGACTCGTGCTGGCCTATCAATGTATCGAGCCATTGCTGCGATTCTTCCAGACAGTCGTACCAATTTGTCGACACGGGGGGATGGAGGGCTTGGTGATCGTGTATTGCAAGGCGCTTCCGATCACTATGCTACACGCGCCCCACAGGTGATATATACTAAAAGTAAATAATTAAACAAAATGCACCAATTCTGCTTGTAAATCTGGAACTGTTAATCCACTTCTATCGACTATCGTCGGAGACTGGTCACCGGGCACCATATGGCTTTATAACTCACTTTGTCATTGGCGTCTTCTACCTAGTTTTCCTACTCAATTAGTATATACTCTTCGAGGAGCGCAGGAGATTTTTCATTGTCCCCATTGAGTTCATCTTCTTTTTGTTTAGCCTCGGTGAAAGCTTGGTCAAAGATGGGCCCAGTTTGTCTTCCATTTACATGGTTCATACCTCCAAAATTTGACTTTTAAAATACTTTTTTTTAGCCATTCTTCGCGATCAAATCGCAATAATAGGTCATCACGTACAGAATAGGAGAATTTAAGGAATGTTTGAAATAAATATGCCAAAATCTATTCTATTTATGTTATGAAAGAGATTAGCAAAAATCAGCTGACAGCACCATGACTGCGTTATAGACGGTTTTTTTCTGATCACATCCAAGGGATGGAAATATTCCAGGTGTGTAAAAACACCTGGAACATCTGAGATATGTGGATTATCTAAAACAAACGAGTGGAAAAATATTTGGAAAAATTGGTGAGCACAACTGTTGGTGAGCATTGATTTCAGTGCATACCGTGTTCAGCGAGAAATTGTGCATCATTACACTGATCGCCACTGAGAATCAATTGTTATCGCCGTTGTGTTAATGAATGTAAAGTAGTTTCATTTACTCTGTTGAGGAACTGACAGGGCAATTGTTACTGGGTGAAATGTGGTTCATTGTGGGCCTAAAATCAACAGTAGTAGTTGTTTTTGTAGTAATTTGGAGGCACTAATAATGCACAATCTTCGTGTGCGCTCTGGCTGCGTTACTGAAACACTACGCAGTTTGACTGGTCTACGAGTTCTCGACATATCCAAAGAAGTCACGGACTATGGGACGGATAGGTATTGATTCTAAACATTTTAATACAAAAGCCTCAAGTAATGAAATTGTTTTCACTGGAATATAAAGTGTCCATGGCATTTCACTGGCGCCCACTTTCAGTTCTCAGGAAGCTTGCGTAGACTTACCACTTGCGATGGTGCAAGTAATGCTTGATGATCCACACAAGTGTTGGCCCAATCTAAAGTCAGTCGATCTCGCTGGAAATTCTCTTGCTAATATGGGAGTCGATCGAGCATCTGACATTGTCTCCCTTTTACTGCAAAGAAATCCTCGGCTAGAAAGGTTGTCTGTTCTTGGTGAGTCCACTAAATTATTTATACCAATCTTCATTGTTCTTCGCAGAGTCCGACAGTAAATGTCAAGAGACTGGACTCGTGGTTTATATGATGGTAGTTGGAATCACCTCTAGTCTCGCAATTTTGATAGTTTTGCAGCTACTCCTCTGGACGGTCATTCTTATATTGTTCCCGTGGAACGCGATGTACAAATTATTAATTGTGCCACTAGAAACCAAGCAGTTATCGCTTTGAACGCCTACTGGAATACTGACAGGTTTTTTTTACTATTTTTTCTCTTTCTTTTTCTATTTTCTGTTTTATGAATATATCCATTTATGGCAAATTTGTGTAAAGTATTTTTAAAGTAATATTAATTGCAGAGATGCATTCACTGCACATGCTTTGCATTGTGTTTACTACATGTTACAAAGTGGATATGATGACTTTTCTGATAGTGAAGTTGCCGAATGTGCCACAGTTGTTTGTGCAGCATTGCGAAAGCACCTGCTAAATCTGGGCGTTCAAATGGCCGGAAGCGCTTGTCTCTATCATCTCTGCAAGTGAGATTGTTTTTAATACAATATGAGCACTATAAAACGTTTGTACTCAGCTAGTTATGCTTTCAATGGGGCTTTAATTCTGCGTGCTCTCGTTACTCAAGTGTTGATAGAGTTGCAGGAGATACAGATGACCCATTACTTTCGTATTTACATATTTGAACTTCACAATCAGTGTGGCCTCCAGCGCGGTTTCCGTGATGGCCCACTAGGCGAATAAATTTCAGGATGAAACGTATTTCAAGATTGTCTGTCCCGACCGTTCGCAAGTGTGTCGATCGTTGCCTGGATGCTGCTGAGACTTATCCCGAAACAACACAAGTATTAGCTATGGCTTAAGTTTCAAATTTAGTTGTTTTAACTAGCTCTGGTTTTTTCAGCTGCAGAAAAATGTGTGGTTGACTATATGCAACGACTATCTTCTCCAACTCTCAGGCATTAATTTTTATCGAACTTGCAAAGTTGCTCTGGAAAGCATGTTGATCAATAATGATGCTGGAGTTTCACGGTTAGTAATCGCTGTATTTTTTAACATCGGAAACGATCTGTATTTTTCAGGATGACAATCGCCATTGTATCAATCGTGGCACCAAAAATGCACTCCCAGGATGCTCGCATACTTGCCAGTGACGTTCGTTATGTTAAGCATCTTGTGCATCTGATGGAGCAGAATCTTAGTGAGATGAATTCCATTGTAGGCTATTCTTGACTTCCCGCTTTTCTTGATCAAAATTTGTCGGTTTTCAGGTCATTTCCGTAACTCAAATAGTGTGCGCGTTGAGAATTCACTGTATACCCTCAAGTTTACACTGAGCGCTCTCTGGAATCTCACAGGTGAGTAATATGTAGGACTTCAAGTGGTGTGTCCAATCGCTCCTCATTTAGTAAGTTTAGACGATTGTCCTGCCACATGTATTGTTTTCGCTCGTGAAAATGGCATTGCAGTCTCGTTTGAGATCTTGCGACACTTTGAGAGCCATCATAACATACAGACGAAGGTGCTCGGCATATTGGTCGGTTATTCGTTTGTTCTATCTGGATCCAAATTAGCGTTAAGAGCAAGTAGTTTTTATAAGGATTTGGGATTAAAAAATGAAATTGACATTTCAGTAGTGCTTCTCAATTTCTGTTTATATTTGTGGGGTTTTCAGAATAACGTCTCTGAAGTTTATGAGCAGAAACTCATGATGCTACAGAACTCGACGTACTTGAAATCTTTATGGTATTTTCTTTTTATATACGTTGACAAATGAAATCTCTTTTTTTATCGCCTTTCTATCGTTTCGCGATTATCTTTATCTTTATAGTTATCTTGCAGTGAGTGTCTAGAAGGTGACTTTTCTCGAGTTGACGCCACGGGAAGAAATCGTGCTGTTGAACGCAGTTACTTTGCTGCAGGGGTCCTAGCTAACATGTTATTATGTGAGGACTGGCATCATCCCTCAGATCTATCCCGGGAAGAAGTGAATAGCCTTATGGTAAAGTCGATCTGTCAGTGGCCCATGCTTTCTGTTCCTATGGTTTCATACAGGTTCGACATTTATGTGGAAAACCGGTTTTCAAAAGTTTTCAGGTTTCCATGTATTTGATTACATAATGGTTTCCGTTGCACCGTATAATGTTTTCCGTGATTTTAAGGTCATTTGAGCCATTTGTTCGTATCCTGAACGAGACAAACTTGCTAGGCGCGCAGATGTGGTGTTTATGGGGAGTCAATCATGTTCTTTCACATAGCGATGCCAATTCTGTGTCTATGGGGTAGTTTTTTTTTTGTCTAACCAATTAGTTTTTAATAGAAATGTGCAAAATTGGATTCAGGTACATGTCGATGTTGACAGAGTCAGACTTGTTGACGCACTGTGTTCGATTATCCAAGTCTCCATTTGTGGATGAACGTGTTCGCTCGTTAGCAACTCAGATTGAGATCAGGTTCCTGGAACGATCTATTCATAACATGAGAGTGAATACAGTTTTCAATAAGCAGGTAGATTCTTCGTCTATTCCTCAGGAGTCTTGTGCCTGAATCTTGTTAAGAGCTCGTAAGATCTTTTTCGCCTTGTTCTAGGTATGGTATATTATGATTTTTGCTTATTATTATTATCGGACTGTGATCTATTTGTCGCTTTCTTCTGTAAGAAATCAATTGACTCACGATTATAAGATGTTGTGATCAGACGTTTTGGATTTTCTAGTCATCAGATTTTTTTTTATTGCACTCTTTCTACGATTTGTTCGAAATTGCGTCGCTTTCTGTACCATTGTATCTGGTTGTGAATATATTTTATAATATTATTGGTCCCAATGTGCTCGTAGATGTGTCCCTCGTGGTGGCGAGTCCTATAATCTCTATACGGGTGCTCTGTTGGGTACTGCACCTGTCAAGTTGTTATTTATTCATATTGGACAGTATCGATTCGTCTGTGCAGGCAGGTTTTATTCGTTAACCAACACATTCTAATGTTTTTTATGAGTTTAGCATGTAAATTGTATATTCTATATGACGTTTTCATATGTTCTGAAATTTTACTTATCGAATCGTCGTGATAAGAGAATGACAATGGTGCCTGTGAACTCTCGTCTGATACAACTGCTTTTATTACCGGTTCAGTAATTCATTGATGGATAATCTGCAAATAAATCTTGCAGTTTAGGGTTTCTGGTAGGGTACTGGATGTGAACCTTACGCCTTATAAAGACTATTAAACTTGGGAGATTTGTGTCAACTATACAGCCACGTCCATAGGTCGATCTTCCATAGGTTCTGGGTTGTTGAGCTGCTGACACATAGCTATAACGCTTGCTGGGTCGTCGCACTAACGCTCAGTTTGATCGGTGATAACTTAGTAACATTCGAAGTAGATGTAAGTATAGGGAAAAAGTGACTCTTTGGCCTCCGCGATTCCCGCCATAACCTATGACGAAGACAAGGACAAGGTAGTAGAACCATGTGGAATTACAGAACTTGTACAACTTTTCTGAGTCCTTGCGTGTGGTGAAACAGATTTTCTTCTTGACGAGAAAATGCTGAATATAGCAGTCGCCAGCTTTTAGTGCAATTTGCCGATTATTGACGTTCTGCTGTAAAGGTTTAGTCAGGAATTAGGGAAGCGTACCCAAAACACGTAGTCGGGTGCGCCAGCTTTGCTTCCGTGAAGTGCTTCGGGACTTCATCCTTGTTCAGCCACAGCGGAGAACATCGTTGGAGCACAAAATCGAAGCATCGATGGCGGTAGTCCCGCCTAGCCTCTCCACACGTGACTTTCATCTCCATTGTGGATGTTCTTAGATTAGTTTTGTTCTTACGAGTAAACTTTTTTATGAGCTGAAATGAGGTTACCATGCCTTCTAAATCTCTGCTACTATGTTCTCACTAACCTTTCTTTCTTCACACCCTAGGCGGGTCGTTGTACAGCTTTGTTCGGTGAATATTCCATAACCTTAGTGAAAAGTCGACGCCTAGATTGCTTTCCAGCTCATAAAGGATGGTTGTAAAGAAAGGCATTTCTATTGACACCAAAATTGGTTGAGTGTCAGTCTTTTGAGTTACTATTTCTAAAACATACATTACAATGTTCTCGTTGGCAATTCTTTGACTAAGCGCGGCCTTGATATGACAACCGGTCTTGACAACTTTACACGAAAAAACTTGCTCGAATTTACATTTTTCGGACCATTTGGAACAGCGCTGTGATCTCAAGCGAAGAAAGGAGGTGTCTAGTAGATGAACGTGGTTATCGGCACATTTTTTAATTGTTAAAGTAATGGTTTTTTGGTGAAGTTGCTGCCTTCGTCAAGAACATATGTGATGTAAGAGCTGTAGGCGGAAATGATAGCCGTTCAGAGCCAATAAGAATGAAGTCCATGAAGGCCAGTTCCTAATAGTACGGTTCCCTTTGAAAAGCAATACGAAGCTTCATCGAGATCGTTGTCTCGAAAATGATGAATTGCTCGTCATATTTTGAGGTGGAGATGAAAGTAGCAAACACAGTAACGGTTGACTACTGTAGATGGTGTAGATGCTTATGGGAACCATTCTCCCGAATAACAATGTTAACTTTTCATTTACTGCTTGCTACACCTTTTCATGGCATGGTATTATGTGAATTGCAAGCACAATAATGCTGAGATATTTGCAAAACTCTAGACCGCAGGTATTGCGGTGGGAACGAACGCGCTATTATCCTTCCTGGGGACTAACGCGTTCACCACCACGCCATGCGAGCCTGCTTAGCTGAGTTCAGTGCCGATTTTTGATACCCAGATTAACCTCGTTGACGGTTGATTGCTGACGGTAGATAGCAAACTAGCTCAGGAAAAGGCGAAACGGTGGGCTCGCATGGTGCGGTGATGAAGGCGTTAGCATGGCCTCAACCTCCAAAAAGGGTGATAGCGTGTGCGTTCCCCAGCGCAGACACCTGCGGTCCGAAGTTCTGCAAATATCTTAGCATCATTATTCTCCCGAATAGTTTTCATGTCTCTCCATTGCCGTATTTTAAAGCTCTACAATACAAAGCTTTAACATACGGCTCTCGGCGTTGATCAATCCCTGAGGCATGCACCATGCATTCGGCTTCATTAAGTATCGTTGGAGGTGATTAAATGCATATCTGGCCTTTACAAGGACTTGCAGTGGCCTAGCGATGTATCGAGCCATTGCTGCTATCCTCGCAGACAAGTCTAGTACCAATTTGCGGACACCGAAGGATGGAGGGCTCAGTGGTTTATGGGCGTGGGGATCGATCCCACGTGTGTGTCGCAGTGGCGCCTCCAACCACTGTGCCGCACGCGCCCGTATTGCCGTATGTTGCCTCCGTTAACTATGTTGCCTGTGAAACAAATTTAGCTTTGCTTCTTGTCACTTAGCAAACTTGCAATTTAAAGTTCTCTGTAAACTTTCCCATGGCAATTTAGTAAACTATTATCGGAAACTTTCTTATGCTAACGTGATGAACATTTTTTTTCGAAGCATTCCCTTGCCTTGATCTGATTAAGCTTGCTGTAATATGATACAACACCTCCGATTTCTGGCCACGGACATGCTTCGGAACATCGGGTTCCCTTTCTCAGTTACATGATGCGCTATGTTCTAAACAACCCGTCAATACTGTGTTCTACAAAGTTGACCGTATTTCAACTACTCACATGGCATAACAGATTTCCGACATGTGTTTCCAGTCAGGACATGCCGTGGAGTCGAAGGAGTGGTGGCGTAGAACTTGCTGACAGCTGTTTTCATGGTGGAGTCTATAGCACAAGGAACACCTACGAAGTTCTAGTTGGGAGGAGAAACTCTGATTATTTGACGCTTCTTTTTCATCACTAACAGTCTCCATTTCAATATGTGTGATGGGCTTTTCGAACTTCGTTGAAGTGACATATCGTCACTTATTACCCTTTCGCGATATCTCAATGGACTAGTTGTCCTAGTATGACCCATTTTGAAACACTGTTTCTTCGCATGGCTGTCGAAAACTAAAATTTATCGGTAGTTTTTCGAATACTCCAAAATGTTTGGGTGGTTCGTTGTGTTGCAACGTTTAAGACTTACTTTTGTAAGTTTATTTTGGGATGGGTAGTGATAGTGATGTTGATCATCAAGAGCACGGTATTCGTTCGATACCGCCGCGGGATAAGCAGGCTTCCCATTTTCGCGGCTCCGAGAAATTGGTTCTAGATTTGCCTGGAAATGGTGCATTCCTTGCAATCCAAGCGGGGACGCTCTAGCCCGGCTGTCCCAGGACTCCAGGCAGAAATGACTCGAACAGCATTCAATGACCATTCATGACGAAAAGAAAATCCTTAGTCAGCAAATCACACGCAGAAAGTCCGCAGATTTTCGCGGTGAATGATGAGAGGAAAAGAATTAATTGCGAGAAATGCTGAGATCCGCACAACCGTTGTGAAGTCGGGTCGTGTAACAAAATTGCTCACATTGCCACTGTTGATTAACCCTCACCGCTTTTTTGAACCAGTATGAGATGGGACACTCATTCCACAAACGTTAACGTTCCGACACATTCGCTGTTGTAAGATCATTTTTAATGCACTTCACGTAATCAAGAAGTAATTGTCCGTGAATGGTGTGAAAAATTTAATTTCACTTAATATCGAGTCTCCCAACTGTTTACCGCCTCATAGTGGCTGGGTGTGCCTCCATTTGGGGCTGCGATGTACAGCGGAGTGTTCTTCCTCCCCGCAGAGCTTTGCAAGCTGAAAAATAGTCGGAGGTTTCAAGCCGGAAGTGCAGCTAAGGGTGTACCATTATCAGGAATCACGACCATCCTGGCATCACACTAGTCACACGTTGGCAAATCTTCCTCTGATCCACAAGGACGGCGACTTACTGGGGTGGTGGCGATCTGAGGAAGGCTTCTGCTAAGCTCATTTTCGGACTCCAGACAACCACAATGCCTAAACAAGCAAAACTCCGATAAAGTGCAGATTATGATGGGGCCCATACAACCAGTGAACACAGGCAATCCAAATGTCGAAGTAACGCTTAGAGTCCAACGTCTAAATCCGTGGGAGTGTAGCGTCTATTTGTACTATTTCTAGTTTGTCGTCGCACTGGCTATCAATTGATTCAGCTGTGATCTGTCGATTTTTTATCCCTCCAAGCCAACGATTTCTCCAACTTTATTGTACGCTTTACTTCATACTATAGACTATTCGGAAATTGAATCGCGATTCGTAATTTTATCTCCCTTGTGTGTCTTCTAGCACTGATTTTCTTTTTGAATGCTGTACTATTATATATCAATTCAAGACCTGTTTAGCTGGAGATAAATAAATCCTACTATAAAATATATTTTTGAAAAGTTCCGTAGACTGGAAAGTTTGATACCGAAATAAGGATTTCGAGAACTTTACGTCTAGCAATTCAAACTAAGAGCTTGCGCAAGGCAAATGGCTCGAAACGTTAGTGTGCTGTTTAGCCAAGGAAGTGTTAACAAATAGACAGCGCAAGGTTATGTTTGAAAAATTTTTCGTTACGAACTTGACCTTGAAGATGAGGAATGTTTCGGACGTCCATCTGCCATTAACGACGATATGTTGAAGGTTTTAGTTTAAGCAAATGCAACCAAACCTGTTCGAGAACTTGCAGAAGAACTCGTTTTAAGCATCTCGACTGTTCGGGCGCATCTAAGAGAAATGGAAAAGTAGAAAAATCACAAAAAATGAACCCCGCACGAATTTAATGGCCCTGTTCTACAATAACGCGAGGGCACGCCGCACCACCGACCATTGCGAAAGTTCAGTGGGCTTTGCGGCGAAGTTGTGCCTCATCCACGACATTTCCCGGACGTCTTGCAGACCGAGTGCCATTTCTCTAAGGATCTCGACAACTTCTTACTGAACGAATCCTTCAGAATCCTATCCGAGAGAAGACTATCTTCAACGACTTCACCGTCTACAGAACACTGAAGTTTTTGGTTGGAAAAATCTGCAGATTTTAATAGTTCTTATTTCGATTGATAATGTTTATTCTCAGTTTCTATATGCCACTTTATAGATACGCATTGAAATCGTGAATAATTTCTGATCAACCTAGTAGGACAAAAATGGAAGAAAGTGCAGTCGTCAACCATCGTCTGGATGTGCAATGGTGTACGCCCGATAGCCGGCCAGAAAACTGGCGATGGTCTGAAATGATGACTCGATTTTGGATGGATCGCTTTCTGCACGAATAGGTGAGTACCTCGATTAAAATTACTGCCATTGAGGCGGCGCCGAGGTACTGCACATCTTTAGAAATACGTGAATGAATCTGCTTTTCACATCCCTGTAAAATCATTCAAAGAAAAAGTTCGAAGGAGGCAAAATATCCATATTTTCCCAAAGTATGTAAAGCAAGAGTATGCAGGTTTGTACCAGATGAGAAACAATAGTCTGCGGTAGGAAACGAGCTCGCTATTACCCTTTTCGGGGGCTGACGTGTTCACCACCACACCATGCCTGTGCTTCGTTTCTTTTGTCTCTCAACTAGTGGTGGTGAACGCGTTAGCCACCGGAAAGGACAATAGCGCATTCGTTCGCCACCGCAGACAGCTGCGGTCCAGGATTTTGTTAATATCTCTGTATCGTTGTGGTTATATTTCGCCTAATACTCTGCCATAAAAATTGTAATAGGCAGTAAATAAGAAGCAAACAGAAGTTAGTGTTCTTTTGAAAGAGTGGAGTGTTTTGGGTGTTTTCTATGTAAAATTAAGTTGTTCAAGCCCTTCGTAATTAAGTACGGTTGACCGTTTGATTTTGACCCATTGCTCAATCAAAACTGCGATTTCAACGGAAGTACTGTTTCTCCTAAGAATTGATTTCACAGGGCTATAGACAAGTTCAACTTCGATAACATACGTTGTCAAAGTTTGGTCGAAAGCAAAAATAAGCTTTCAGTTGAGTCTCGTTGAATCCCCAATCTTTCGAACTGTGCACGCCACAACAGCTAAGCTGAAAAATGTATGAAAAGTTATGATAAGCTCATTCGACACGGCAATCAATACGCATTTAACAAGCAACGCTCGATGACTAAATTTGCTTGGCTCCCACATGGGACAACGTAGTTACGTACGGTTGACCGCTTGGTTTTGACCCATTGACTTCATTTCGGGTACTCACTTGGACAACTTGATCGCCAATAAAATAGCATGTAATGGATAATGATGATTTTTCAGCAGTAGACGACGTTTCTTCGATGGCTAGAGAGCTTAAGAGGAAGGATAAAAAGACTGCAGAGTTATAATAGAGGCATTGCTTTATCGATATAGTCGTATTATTTGCCATATTTTGCTATGGTCTACGATCTAACCAAATTGCTATTGACAAGCACGAAACAGATTATACAAAATCAGACCACTGATCGAACTTTACAGGAAAAATTGCAGCAGGATATTCAACCACCTCTCCCAATGGTTTACCACCTCATCATGGCTGGGAGCTGTTCCTGGGTGTGGGACTGCGATGTACAGCGGGGGAGTTATCCCCTGGTAGGATCACCCATGCTAAGAAGCAGTTCGGCGTTTCCGTCAGGAAGCCTAGCTGAGGGTAAACCAGTACCAGGATGCACCACCGTCTTAGAATCAAACTAGTCGCATGGTGGCGAATCTCCCTTTGATCCACAAGAACGGCGACTGCCAGTAGTGGTGACGATGTAGAGCAGACTTTGACCTGGTTGACCACGGGGTTCCATTTAACCACAACGACTAGACCAACAAAACTCCGAAAAAAGTAGAGATTATGATGGAGCCGCACAACCAGTGAGGACGGGCCATCTAAGTATCCAAGTAACTATTCAACCATAACGTCCTGTCGTGTTTTTAGGTGGATTCGTCGTACGCCAGTAGATCCCACATAATAAGCAAAAATGCAACGCTTTAAAAAGACCTGTGTAGCTAAATCATCGGTCGAAAAGAGAATACACTGGAAGAAAAAAAATATAGGTAGTGTATTGGCATTCACGTACGAGTGCTGTGTGTTGAATTCTTGTAATTTTACTCCTTGCCACCTTGTTAACCCAGACAAAGTGGAGGCATTCCGAAAAACTCTGTCATGTATTCATCAGATTAAGCATCGATAGAAAATACTAGATATTTAACTTCGTTCCAGCTTTCAATTCCTCTAAGCTTTTACATGGTTCGTCTACAACGAAGATATTGACACCGTAGTAGTGTACTTGAGTATGGAAAGTTGGCCGGTTGCTGTTCAGTATTGTGAAGTTCTGTTCGAAAACAAGCTCTACAACGGGATGTCCTCTTCTGCTTTATCTATCTTTTTATCTTGTCTGGTTTATCTATCTTTATCTTTATTGTTACAAAATCGTCGTAGTGTAACACAGAGACCATATGGTCGATTCATCACTTTACTGTTAAGGTCGCGTACCTTCGTTTTTTGGTAGTTTGAAAAGAAAAACACTAGATGTTTGACGATTATACACCTATCTTAGGCGCGTGTAGCACAGTGGTCAGAGGGCCACTGCAATACACATAAGATCGATCTCCGTGCCCCAGGCTCACCTATTCTTCCACCCGTCTATGCTCGGCAAATTAGTACCAGACTTGTCAAGGAGGATAGCAGCACTGGTTCGATGCATCGGTAAGCTACCGCGAGTCATTGTAAAAACCTGATGTGCATTCAAGCGCCTCCAACGATGCTTAATAAAGTCGAATGCATGGCGCATTTCTCTGGGATTGATCAACGCCGAGAGTTTTATGGTTTATCGCCTAACTCTTAATCTTAATCTTAAAATCTTAACCGCACAACAGAACCTATGAAGCAATAGCACTTACAGAAGTGATAGGGTAGAATTAGGTGTACTAGTCACGCAACCTCTGTAGAAGTTTCATGCGGGTTCCACACTGCTTTTAGTTTTCTACTTAGCTTCTGAAGTTCTTGTTCCATTTATCCTCCACTTTCGTATGGTAATCGAGGTAGGTGTAAGACGTTGTTCCCATTACCTGGTCTTCATTCATCCCCATTCTTTTTTTCCACCAAACATTGGAGATTGATTAAGTTTTTTACTGCTTAGACGTGCAGACGTGGTCTCATAGCAGCTGGCATATTTGATGACGGATGATTGTTCGGAAATCCAACGCTTCCAGAATTTCATGGTCTATTCGGCTTAATGAGAAATGCAACTTTTATTATCTGCAACTGTTGCAGCCTTCCTGATATTCGTTGTCCGCATGACGAAATGTACTCTTGCTCCAGAATGAATGATATTTTGCAGCTAATCTCAGTATGTGTCATAGTGAGAGTGATCCTTTTCATCACCCCATCAAGGTCTTGACATTGATCTCTAAGCTAACTGCTACCGAAGATTAACAACCGTAGGAAGTTTCGATTGTTCGTGTTTATGAGAGGGACTCAATTGGTTTCAGCAGAATTCAACCATCAAAAAGTGATCTATTAGTATTAACTTAATTTCGTAACAAATTTTCTTATAATGTTTAGCGGAAGCGGGTGGCGCAATGGTTTTAGTTACTTCGTTTATTGCGCAGACGGCCACACCTATCCAGGCCCTGGCTTCACCCCCTCCCGGGTCTAACAAGCCTCTCATTCATCCGAGGTGAGAACTTGGTACCAGCGTTTTCTGTGGCAAGTTGAATTCCTCCAATCCACATAGGAACACCCTAGCACGGCTATCTCAGGATTTCAGGGAGAATTGACTCGACCGCTACTCAGTGCCATTCGTGACGAAGAGGAAAAATTCTTCAAGCAGTAGCCGAAGCCACACGCAGAAAGTTCGAAGACCACTGTTGACGGTGGGTGCCGGAAAAAGAATCGGATGGAAGAAATACTGAGATCGGCACAGTGTGATAAATGTGAGGTCGGGTGAACCAGTAATAAAGATATTTAATAATAACAGTGCGTAATTATAATAACAATTAATGGAAAGGATATTTTTTATAATATGCTATTTCGCATATACTTCATTTATCATTCATCAATGGATTCACATGTAAGCGGAGAAGATCAGCAAATATGGGTTTGCATAATTTTTTTCCCTATAGTGGTCAAAATCCTGTCACTACCTTTTATATGGGAGTGATGTTTATTTCTACAAGAAGCAGTACTTCAGTCATAAAATGTTAGTCAAATTCTTGACCCTTTCTTTGGAAGACTCTTGTGATGACACCACTAGCCATCGAGGTATCGGTAGCGGTTGATTGCTTCGAACCTAATTTCACCTCTACTCGACGTTTTTTAGGTCAAAGTTTTACCATTACGAGAGCAAACTGAACAACAAAGAATGTACCCTACCATGTCTTGTGTATAAATCCAGAATTGAGTTTCATCGTCTTTTGGAGGAGGTGATGCGTATCTACAAAACAAATTAAAGTGATGCGGATAATTTTTCGTATCGAGTTTTTGTGAACTAGAGATTTCGTACTTGTCAAAATGTCAAGATTTCACATCCATATGGCGAATTTCGGATATTTAAATGGCAGTCTTTCAGTCCAAGGGGCTCGTAGCGAAATGGTAGTGACGCTGATAGTCACGAGCACGGTGCTGCTTCGACCACACTGTGGGATCACCAAGCTTCTCATCTCTCCGCCATTGGGAAATTCGTACCAAACTTGTCTAAGAACAGTTCACTCCGTGCCAGCCAAGTGGAAAGGAACGCGCTAAGCCGGCTATCTCAAGACTCCAGTGTTGGTCGAGTCCCACACGTAACATCACAACTCTGAGGAAGGCGAAGTCGCCGAAACGGCAGCCATCGACTTCCGAGTCTGCCGAAACGTCAACGTCAAAAACAACGACAACTACAACGAAGACCTTACCAACCTCGCGTCAGCTTAAGAAGATCAGTTTATAAGATCATATAAATAAATATATCAACTATCTATGCCGAGGTTTACAGAAAGTCGGTCTTTCGAGTTATTAAAAAACAACACTTGGAGTTATCGCAGTTAAGCGCAAAACAAAATTATTTCGAGCCAAACAACATTTGCTTATCTTTCATTGTTAAATCAGCACAGGGGTTCCCAACCATTTTTTCACTTTCTCCTTCGGAGAGAAGACCATTTTCCACCCAGCAAGTCATTCAAGCGATTTGTAGGATTTAGCAAAATCTCTGTGAGTGGTTAAGGTGCATGACTTGTATGGCTGCTTGGGTTTTATATGCCCGAGCCAGACTATGAATGATAGTTAGTATGGACGGCTAGCGAATCGAAGTCACATAGAATTTAAGCAAACCACGGAATCGTTTCGAAACTGTTGAAGTAGATGTTATGGAAGCTTTATCACATCAGACCTCTATATTGTTCTTGAATTTGTACTATCGTCTTATTCGTGTTCGAATCTTCGTTCTCAGAAGAACCATTGAGTCCTTCAGCTGTCTCTAAGTCACAAGAATCAGTTGTGTCACAATGCATGCCAAAACGCAACCAGTTAGAAAGTCGAGATGAGCAGCGTTGATCGCTTTGATAGGACATTGGATAGTTCCAGAGAACCGATGAAGATAATCAAATGTATTCCAACTTGTTCTGTACTAGTCAGCATTTCATCCACACCATGGCAATTTTGTTTTGATGTGATTTCGTCATCTTCGTGGATTCGTTTTTTATTCGACTATGGCCATATTACTACTTGTTATTCGAAGTAGTGGTCTTTTCACGCGATTCTAAACAACGTACTAGACAAAACTAGAAATCTGTACCTAAATGGTCAATAAATTAATACCATTAATATGAATATAGGGCGCGTGTGGCGCAGTGGTTGGAGGCGCCCTGCAACACACACGTGGAGTTAATCCCCGCGCTTATAACCCACCAAGTCCTCCATCTCTTCGGGGTCGACAAATTGGTACCCGACTTGCCTGCGAGGATAGCAGCAAGGCTAGATATGCATTCAATCACCTCCAAACGATCCTCAATGAAGTCGAATGCATGGCGCATGCCTCAGGGATTGATCAACGCCGAGCGCTTTATCATTTTTATCCTTTATCTCACTTTCTAACCTACAGTTTTTTAGGAATACAATTTATATTGCAGCGCTATTATATGAAGACAAAGTGCATGAAATAAGCTTCGTGTTGGTATATAACAGTACAGAATTCGAAGAAAGTACTCCTAGAATATATACATGAAAAATTAAACAACCGACTCGGCATTAATTTCCGAGTAGAGTTATACTCTTCTCTCCTACAAATATAACATCGCTGACTGGTGTTTGGCAGAATTTCGTTGTTTTCTACACTAATTTCCAGATCGTGGAATTTAAGTTAGAATAGGAATAAATCGAGGTGAAGTTCTGCTTTCCACGTGAAGCATTAGAAGAGAATAATGGTAGGGAAATCTGTCCATGACCTTATGGGCTATTTCGCTAAGGTACGTGCTTTCTTGAAGTCCCATTCAACGTTAGAAAATAAGACCGTAGAGAAATCGGCGTCCTCGAAAATTGTGCTTTTGTGCATTGCTAGACAACATATTAAGAACCACCATTCATAAATTTTGCTTCACATATCTCACGTAGAAGATACGATGAAGAGGGAACGTCATAAAATTCAGTGACAACAGAAGAACGCCACTTCAAAGGACTTCGCTTTGCGTGAAAGGGGCGTGTGTTCGCTGAGGCCAAAGGCGGTGGCCATTCTTTCTAATGAAGACTCCTACTACGAAGTATGGTATCTATTATGTTCGTGGAATGGAGAGCACCCATCTGAGTTTAAAAAAAGATATTTGTCGCTTTTCAGTATGATTTACCCTCTATGGTTCAATGACTTACTTGGAGGCAGTTCTGTTCAGGGACTCGTACAGAATGTCGTCAGAGGCGAGTTGATTTACCTGATCTGAGTATGTAAAGGCAAGAAGGCCGGCAACAAGTTGAACAACCACCATAAGAGCCATCACTGCACAGTACTGAAATTCGAGAAAGATCATTTAGGAGTGAGGGCGCTAGAGGCATTTAGGCTATTCGGGGAAAACAATGTCTTCATGGAGGGCAGCAACCAAGAAGAATTGAAGTTTTGAAATTCACACATACTCTTAAGTTGAACTAATAAATACTCTTCACAGCTTCCACGCTTCTCTTGGCACCGATAAAGATTTTTATAGCACTCAACGAAGATTTTCTTAATTGTTGCTCCAAATTTGGAAAGTTCGGCGGACTCTAATAGCAAAACTGCAGTAATTTCACTTAAATTCATTGTATTCATTACACGAGGTCACTCTCCGAGGCAAATACTATTCATATAGCCACAAAGATGCTGAGATATTCTCAAAACTTCGACCTCGGGCCAGATTAAACCATGATTCCCCTTTTCAAGGGATCGCGCATTACACACTCCACCATGGAGACCCCTAATTTGCCTCTCTCTCAGCTAGTTTTTTACCTAACACCGCCATCAACAATCACTATTAATATTGTCAATAGAACCAACCGCACGCAGAAGAAACTTGCTTTTTTTACGGTTGCGTAAACTGCCATGAAAAACAGCAGCACCAGCACGCTGGCAGCGGATGTGAACAGCCCGAATACCATGTCAAGTCGTTCAAGTTCCAAAAAATCGTTGATCTGAAAAGTTTCAAAGTTCTTCGGTGTAATCAACTGCGCAACAACTTCAGAAAGCACTCCCATTCTTTGGAGATGCGTTCTATCCACAAACAGAGTGATCCTTCATTTTATAGCAAACAATTATGCGTTTCTGAGCTGACGTCATAGGCGCAGTCGTTGTATATTTGTAAATATTTTGTCTCTGCAGTGGATTCGTTGCAAACGAATTCTCTTCCGTTTACCAACCACTACGTGATCGTTCACGCTATGATGAAATCGAACGTTTGGCTGTGTATCTAACGATAGCACTTCCTTTTCATTGCATAATACACTAGTCATTTGAGCACCTTTCAATGAAACCAAACAATAGGGAATCCGTGGATATCCGTGCTGAACATGGTATCTTCTGCCGAAAATATGAAGGTGATACCGTAGTAGAAAAACTCGCGACTGCAAAAGGGTTGCTGTACATTATTAAGCGCTCTTCTCTGGCACCTACAACAGGACAGTTGTATGGTAAGCAAAATTAAGTAACTATGTGCTGTGATTTGGACGATCTACTTGTGCAAAAAACAGTGAGATTGAAGCCTGTAACAGAACTCCAATGCTGAGTGTGGAGTGAAACTGACGACGATTCCTTCAATAGCTGAGCGTTTCGCGGTATACTTTCATGCTTTCATTGAGACCTTTCTTCTTGATTTCCTACGAGAAGTCGCAAATGAAAATTTCACTTTTCGAGAATAGTCGACGAAGGTGCCAAAACCTCGTCCAAATCGCAAAGCGAAGCCGATGACGATCAACGTTGTTCCGACCACCTTAAAACATGTATCATAACCTTCATTTACATTTGCAATATATATTAAATAATTTATAATTATTAAAATTATTATTATAATTATTTGTAGCTACTCTATCAATGTAATTTTATAAGATATACTAATAAAAACTGCTTAAAAAGCACTCTATTTCCTTTCCTCCTTCCTCAAGAGACATCTAAGTGGAACGTATGGATTAGAATGCTAACAAGTGAATCGTCGACTCTATTGCTTGGCTAATTTTTAACAATTGATAGATCGATTAGCAGTATTGTTCATCCTAAACTCTACGGTATAGTCGACATCGTTCATAGCTACTCAAGAATACACTCAACTCAGAAGAGTACTGTAGACTTCCAATGAGGCCCACCACCAAAAAACTGATCTTCGTGGTTCGTCAATCAAGGACACCAACTATAAACTGCTGCTAGGGAATGGATAGATACTTTGCCGATGCTTCCTCGATTTTTAGTAGACGTACAGGTGACAACGGTACTCTACATTCTTGCAACACTTTGTGTTCTTACTAGGGAATCAAGGACGTGAGTTATACGATTAGCAGGCAATTTGCTGCGGAAATTGTAGTCAGTAGTACTGTGCTACTTCGCTCTAGTGGATAGAAATCCATACCGCTGTGCAGAAAGTGGTGGTGAAAAAAATTCGGTCCTGTGCATCGAGTGCCATCCTCAGAAATCCGCCACAAAATACTGCAATGCGTATTAAAACCTTCTTCATAGCGAGTAAAATCTCAAATTGAAACAAGGTTCATATGATACTCTCAGAAAACACTTAAGACTTGGAAGGTATTGTGCTCAAACGATGAATCTTCCTTAACTGAGGAATGTTGTTCATTTGAAAGATCTCATGCCTGACGTACAGTTCTTTAACCCACAAATGACCTTATGGACAGTGTCCATAGAGAACTAAACCAAGCGACCATATAGATACTATGGGGCCCCTACTAATTTTAGAGGTTAGAGTTTTTTTCACTGCATTATACATACTTATTCGATGGTTAGTCGAAAACAGATCAAAGTAGGTGGCTTCGACCCTGGAAAGCCATTTTCTACAATTAGTGGTTTACAAAGAACCTTTTTCAGAAAAGTCGTCGACAGGCAATATGACCCACAATTTGTCGCTGCTTCATTTCATCGTTACGGTTATTTTATAGAATGCGTCGTTGTGAAAATACCGAAATCAACTCAACTTGAAAAATATTTTCAAGTGCTAGCAGCAGTGTATTTGAAATACGAACCATACTAACAAAATTAAATATATCATACATGTCATTCAAACTCATAGAACGATAGAGCAAAGTCTCTTGTACAATTTTGTTATGTGCAAACTCCTTCAGGTGCCCTTATTATTGAAAAAAGAATTTTCATTGCTAATAAACCGGAAAGTCGGCAACAAACGAGAAACTGGTCATATTCGGTTGGACCAATGTGGTAGGGCATTATGCATTAATGACTCTTCTTACATCTATATATTCGAACCTAATGTGAAATATTGTGAAATGAAAGTGGCGTTACAAAATTGGTTGAGAGAAACGCAAAGCATTGGCCCCAGTGGTATAGTAGGTAACACATGAGCTCACAGAAGAGGTAATCGCTGGTTAGATCTGGCCCAGAGTCCAAATTTTACGGATGCCCCAGCGTCACAGTGGATTGACCCCAGTGGTACAGTGGGTAATACTTCAGCTCACGGAAGAGGTAATCGCTGCTTCGATCTGGCCCCGAGACCAAATTTTACAAATGCCCCAGTATCACAGTGGTTGCATTCCACATCACGTCCTGCCTTAGAAATAATAATGGCGCTAAACAAAAAGTTGACATTGTGATTTTGGCTACAGCCCCAGTTTAGGTGGGTTCAATGCCGATTTATTCTCGTCAGAGCATCTTCGTTGATGGATGATTGCTGACGGGATCGTTAGGTAGAATAACTACCTAAGGGAAAGGTAAAGCAAAGACCTCAGTGTAGCAGTGGGTAACATGTGAGCCACCGCGAATGGTAATCACGACTTCGATCTGGCCTGAAGCCCAAGTTTTGCAGATATCTTAGCATCATATGAGGCGAAAAAATCTGGCAAAGACGGAGAAATATATGAAACTGAGAACAAATTATCAAGAATATATAGGAGATAGGTAGCCACTCTGGCACATTGACTGCCTAAAAGAGGACTAAGCAAAGAATAAATAATATATTAAAAAATAAAGAAATAATAAATTTTTTCACTTAGGTTGAAGCAAACCCTGCGGGATGCCTCTTGCATTCGATTTCATGAAACATCGTTAGAGGTCACTGAATGCATCTAAGGCCTATCCATTGACTCGTGGTAGTCCATTGATGTATCGAGTCAGTGTTGCTATCCTCCCAGACAGGTCTGGTTGCAATTTTCCGCCCCTAAAGGGACAAAGGGCTTGGCGAGCTCAAGATGGATCGAACCACACGATCGACTGAGTAAGTCGTGATGGTCACAACTAATCGCTGTGGTCCCCGCGCTCCAAGATGATAAACGCTTTAAGAAATACTGGTGTTTTAAAAATTTTTAACCGATGTTCGTGGACCAAGCCTTAGCCTGGTAGTCTGCTCCCAAAAAGTTTTCAATAAACCTATTCGAAAGTGAATGCGGTATTTGGACATCTCCATTGCAAAATTATTAATTTCAAGGAGCGACAAGAACCATTATTGTTGCAATGTTTCACACATATGGTCAGTAACTGTAAAATTCTACCCATCTCGAAACGACATAGTGAAATAAGAAATTGCAGATCCTGAGCTTGTCAGCCACGCTCTAACGAGATTTATAGCTACGAGGAAACTTTCAACTCATGAAGTACAACCGTCCAAAAACCGACGTTTTCCATTTTTCCATAACTCACAGGCACATCGGAGAAATGTCTTTAACAACTTGGTACATAACCACAACCATGCTGAGATATTTGCAAAACTCCGGACTGCAGGTATATGCGGTGGGGAACGAACGCGCTAATACCCTTTTAGAGGGGTAACGCGTTCACCACCACACCATGCGGGCCTTTCATTTCGCCTGTTTCTCAGCTAGTTCCATCAATCAATGCCATCAGCAATCATCCGTCAACGGGATTAATAACGTGAATACTTAAGCAGAAAATAAAAACTAAACATTGTCTTAACCCTTTTATTTACTGCTTTTTTCTTTTTAACGGCAAGGTATGTTGCGAAATACAACTCATATGAAATGCTGAGATATTTTCAAAACTCCGGACAGCAGGTGAATGCAGTGGGGAACGAACACGCGCTGTTGTCCTTACCGGGGTGATCCCGTTGACGGGTGATTGCTGATGGCAAAAAGATCGATAGAACTAGCTGAGAGACAGGCAAGACGAAGGACCCGGATGGTGTGGTGGTGAAGTGTGCTGCTCCCAGGTAAGGACAACAGCGCGTGTTTGTTCCCCACTGCATACACCTGCGGTCCGGAGTTTTGCAAATATCTCAGCATTTCATACTAAACATTGTCTTTTCAACTATAGACTCAGTTTAACTAGGTTCACAGCCGTTGTGGGCTCCCCAGATAATCCCGTTGACAGGTGATTGCTGACGGCACTGATCGATAGAACTAGTTGAGAGGCAGGCGAAACGGAGGACTCGCACAGTGTGGTGGCGAACACGTTAGCCTCCGGAAAGAGTAATAGAGCGTTCGCTCCCCACCGCAGACACCTGATGTCCGGAGTTTTGCAAATATCTCAGCATCGTTGTGGTAGTATTTCTCATAACGCTGCCGTGAATACTGTAGTAGGCAGGAAATAAAAAGTAAACTTAGTACATAATTCCTACTAAAAATAGGTGAAAACTTGGCGATTGTCTGCTGAGTTCTAGTAACGCCTAGTTATAACCCACCATTAGTTTTCGAAAAAGGTTTTTGTTTCAAAAAACCACAGTTTAGCCCCTTTACAAAGTTCATAACATAAAGCTGGAAACAGAGCAATAAAGAGAAATACCAAATCTATAGAGTTTGATAAAACTGCGAGAGAGCTGGGATGTCCATCAACGATCGGTCGTCTGACATTCATTTTCGAGAAGAACTTTTCCACTTTTATTTAATCTAATGACAAGGCCAACGACACCAACGAAATAAAAGCAGAAAAAAGTGGGTACGAAATGGTTGCAGGTAATAGAATAAATTCTGTCAACAAGACGCGTTTGATGACATTAGATAAGGCATTTAGGACTGTTGTAGCCGAAAAAGCTGCGAAAACATTTTCTTTCTGTTTTTCTATAGAGCAAGAATACCTCACTGCCAACGGCATTTCGAAGATCACGAAAAAAATCCTGGTCTCTCTTTGGAAAAATGGGCGCGTGTGGCGCACTGGTCGGAGGCGCCCTGCAGCACACGTGGTATCGATCCCAGGACCTATGGCTCACCAAGCTGTTCAACTCCTCCGGGTCGGCAAATAGGTACCAGACTTGTCTGGGAGGAGAGCAGCACTGATTCGATACATAATCACCTCCAACGATACTTAATGGAGTCGGATGCATGGTGCATCCCTCAGAGATTGATCAACGCCGAGGGCTTTATTTACTATTCATTATTTTGGAAAAGTGGCAGGATATCATTAGAAGCGAGACCTCAAGGGAATTGACCTCTAAAAAATCAGGAAACGCAGACCGCTGAATTCAAGTGGATGAACTGACACGAATAGGACGGAGTGTTTCTCGCCTTATCTGCCTCATTTATTTGGGCACCTGGATTATTCACCAACTCATCGTCATCTTAAGTCTGCTCAAATGGATATTTGAAGATTATCTACTCAAGCGGCTCCGTACTGTTCGCACGCCAGTCGCTTTTTCTTTGCCTTTCTAAGTTTATTATATAAAACACTGAGATTGGATTGGTGACCGAAGATTTAAATGGAAACTAAAATCGAGCAAAAGCGTTGAGTGGAAATGATTGAAACAAAAGTCTACCAATCAGCCAAACAATTTAACGACACATTGTACTAGCATCCTATCAAGCTACTACAGCAACAATGCGTCAATGTCGCACAGAAATTGATCTGTGCCTTGAAAGGAAGGATCCTTAATAGGCCGCATTATATTGATCAG